CCCCTCCTCGGCCTCCCTCTGGGCCCGGGTGGGCACTGCATGGCTGACGCCCCCGTCTCTACGTCGCCGAGGAGCTGCAGAGAGGGAAATTGGATTTCGCTGCTCAGGCCATCATATCAAGTCCTCCTGACCGTCGCCGCCCGAACCGCAAGCGTAGTATCGGTTTCCCCCCGGGACCGCACCGTCGGACCGTCGCGCGTCGGCCGGGTGAGCAGCGGGAAACTTGTTACATTTATTTTATTTGCCCCCCGCCCCCGCTCCCCTTACCCCCTCCTGGTGGGACTGCTCCTACACCCGGCGGTGACCCCTGCCTCGCGGCATTGGGCAGAGTGCGCGGCCGCTTCGAGCCGCTCCTGTCTCACAACACGGCGCTTGGCGGCGCGCCCCCTTGGGGCTGGGCGTGGCGCGGAGCGGTCGCGGGGGATGGGACGGGCGTCCGCCACCGCTGACCCATTAGAGCAGTACGCACCACGCGACGCGCGGGAGTTCATGTCCCCCGCCGCCACCACCGGGGCAGCAGCAGTGCGCCGTGTGCCTTTGCGTGACAAGCGGTGGCTCGGGCTGAGGAGGAGCAGCTGGAAGAATCACGTGGCGCGCTCGTGAAAAATTTAAACCTAATTCTTGTGACCGTCCGAATCAGTCCTCAGGTCGAGTAACCCCCGAGGTCGCCGTCTCCCTACAGAGGCAATGGGGACAGTCCCGTGCCTGGCGCGCGCGTGACCGCGAACGCAACCCCCCGTGGGCCTGGCGCTGGCGCAGCTATGGCGCCGTGGATGGTGGATGTGAACTCCGCGCGACCTTCTCCGGCATGCGCGTGCCCGTGGCGCTCCACTGAACAAAACAGCGCGGCAAGCGGAGCGGACGGGCTTCGGCCTGGGCCGCATTCCCACGTCTGTGTGTCGGCCCCAGCGAGCGGCCCCTGTTCTGTCCCGCACCATAGGGACACATGGGGCGGGGAAGGACGCCGCCGCCGCCGCCACCGTCTCAGAGGAGGGTCGGGTACTCGATGTGGTGTGTCGACCGTCGACCCGCGGCCCAGTCCAGTCAGTGCCAGGGGAGCCGGAGACCTCCGCCTCGGGCCTCTTGGTCTTGGGGGAGGATCGGTTGGTATGGAGAACTCTCAAGAGCCAAGTGGGCGCCGGTGGTGTCCGCTGCAACTGAACCGCTGCGGCACTTCGGGCCGAGAACCCCGGGCATCTCTTGCAGCGTTCCCCGTTGATGACTAGAAGTAAAGTGGCCCGGCGGGGCGGGGCGGGGCGGTGGCAGACTGGAGGCTCCAGTGCGTTTCGTTGTTTTATGGATCCTGCTTTTGTTTCGAGCAGAACGCTACCGGCCGGTGTACACTACTTGCGGGGCGGGGCGTTGGCCGAGCGCTGCCTCGTCGACACGCCCCCACGCCCGCGCTCGCCCGCCCAGCCCAGCCCCGCCCCGCCCCTCTTGGACGCGACGCCGGGTGCGACACTGTTTGTCCAGCTGCTTGTTCCCTCCAGGGGCGCGGCGGCGGCGCGGCGGGCGTGGCGGGCGTGGCGCGGGCACATCCCAGTCGCGTCCGCCGCCCCGCCCCGCCCAGCAGCACCGTGTGGCTATTTGTCTTGGAGCTGTCGGGGCGGCAGGGCCGGACTGGGACTGGACTGGGCCCCATTTGTCCCATATCGCCGCCCCGGCCCGCCCCGCCAGGGTATGCCGATTGCTTGGACCGCCTGTCGAGGCTCTCTCCGCCCCACACAACCCGCTCGGTCTACAGCTTTGCTTGCTTTTGCGAATTATTTGCCACGATGATGATGATGGGGAGGAGGGGAGGGGGGGCTCCCTTTTTGCGGCCCCATAGTCATCTCAGCGGCAGACGCTGCGGCCGCCCTCTTCACGCTGATATCTGCATTGTTGCGAATCCAATCCCGGCCCCGCCGCGCCACCCTGCTCCGCCCTGCTCTTGCTGCTCGCTCGGCTCTAATCCGCCGTGTCGGCCTTCGCAGACTCTCTTTCCGCATCCCTGGATGAATCTGCTGGGTGCGAAATTAAAAAAGTTTACTGCCGTTTGTGTTTGGCGCTGCCCTGCGTTGCCCCGCGCTAAGGAGCCCCTCTCCAGTGTGCTCCTCCCCGCGCTGCTTGACCGCGCCGCTATCGCCGTCTCCGCTCGACACTTTTACATGAAAGGGGCTTCTGAATCCGCTCCCCAGTTGGCCCGGCCGTTTTCTTTTCCTATACCTTTATTCATCCTTCAAAACTCTGCGGATAATATAAGCAGGCTCCGACTTGGTCGACTTTTCGCGCGATTGGGATGGGGATGGGGTCTCATCTCTGTCGGGGAGCGAGTGGAAACACCAAAACTCCCCATCCCATTGCATGATCCATTCTCCCTTCCCCGACGAGCGGGTGCCCCTTCAAACAACCCCTTTGAGATTGTCCCCGCCCCTACCCCCTTTCCTCCCCGCAGAGAGCTCTTTAGACTCATCTTGATTCTTGATCCAAGTGGTGTTTGCCCCTCGCGGTCCGTTTGACGCCGCGCCAGGCAACACCCTGCTTGCTCCTCTTGCTCCTCTTGCTCCTCTTGCTCCTCTTGCTCCTCTTGGTGCCTGCGCCTCTCGCTCGTCTCGAGCAGCTCTGCCTGCCGCCGCCTCAGCTGCCGCGACCTCGTCTGCTCGGCCAGACCAGAAAGAGATGTCTGCAGATTTTTTTTTTGCGTTCCTCTCCTCCTCGTCGAGAGGGCGTGGCGAGGCACTTTGGTGGTTTGGCGCGGGGAGCAGAGGCCGTGAGGAGGAGGGGGGCGGCCTCCCCTCTCTCTCTCTCTCTCTCTCTCTCTCTCTCTGGTCTGTGGCCTGCCGGCGGCCTGTACCCACCACCCCGTCGTCACTTTGCAGTAACTCATTACGCTGGTCGAGACCAGCATCACCAACCGCCCGGCCCGGGCAGCACGCAAAGTAAGCGACTTGGTTTCCATACGCCAGTCTGCATCAGTGACCAGCGAGTTGGTGTATCTAGTTAGAGAACATCCAGAAAGTACGTCCTCCATTTGCCGTTACGAAACTGCTTAGTTCATCCAATGGGATTCCTCACGGCGCCTGATCGGTAGGCAACATCTTGCATGCAGCGCAAGCGTGCACTGCTAGGTGGCCTACCCTGATTTTCGCAGGCGTCTAGCTCCTCTAATTTGCCTAAAGAATCCGAGAAAAGCGGACGTATACGTATAGGCAAGCCCGCTCGCACGCATGAATCCGGTACAACATAAGCAGATAAAAACCACGGCGCGGATCACCCACCCTGTATTTCCGACACTACTTTTTTTATTTACCTCCAAACTATTGTGTTTGTGACCTGTCGAATCTCAACCAAGCTTACTACATCACATGTACGCAATTCTTAAAATATATATGGCATGTAAACGCATACGCCATAAAATGCAGTTCCATTTGAGTTGACGGAGTGTAGCGGAGCAACGAGCCATCAAGTTCCGCCCGTCCCGTCGTCCGCCCGTCCACCGTCGCCCCGCCTGTCTGTCGGGGGTGTTTAAGACGCCGGGGCGAGGCGCTCCGTATCATATCGTGTGACTGGTCGATCCAAATGACGCCGCCAGGCCGGGCCAGGCCGGGCCGGGGCCGGGACGCCCCAACGCGCGCTCCGGGGCCAACGGGACCTGACAGCCGCGGCGGGGCGGGGTGGGGCCGGGGCACATCTAGGCGCACTGCGCCGCGGTACTACGCTCCGCCGTGTTCTTTTGTTTGCCGACCATTAGCGGCCCGTACTGTCGAGGACCGACGCCACGCGATATGACGAGAGGCCGCTAAATTCGGTGGCGGCGGCGGCGGTGCGGAGCCGCGAGCGTCGCGTCGCGTCCTCCCGCGGAACGCGGAGCGGCGTGGAGTGCGCGCCGGCCAGCGCCCCGGCCCTGGGAACAGAGCGCGCCTCTTCATCGCCTCACGCTCACGCGCAGCGCGCTGCAAACAAAAGGCTCGCCATTTTCTGCTCCCATTCTCGCCTCTTGCGCCGCCACCACCGCCGTCTCCCCCCCTCCCCTCTCTTCCTTCACTCTTTTCTCGGCCACAAATCGAGCAGCCAAGGCGGGCTTGCCACGCCACTGCCACTATAGCCTATCGGCAAATTGGATGTGAACTCGATCAGGTGCCGTGCTGTACAGGCGGTCTGCTTGCAGCGAGCATGTGCCGCCCCGCCGCCCCGCCTCGCCTCGCCCTGCCATTGTCGTCCCGAGAAGAACCAATACAAGGTACTGGTACGTGGCGGGGCGAGGCGGGGCGCCCGGACGACGTGGCGAAGGGACAGAGCGGTCGTGATAAAATCATAATGGGTTGTCGATTGGGGTCTCCGCGGCGCTGCATGGCGGGGCCGCTCGTCGTGAGCGGGGAGAGGTCACCTTGGAGGGGGAGAGGGGAGACGATGAATAACCACACACGAGGGACTCGGCGAGGACCTCGGCGAGGACAGGCCCCCCAGTGGCGCCCTGGCCACCTGACGGGCGGCGGACGGGGCCGCAGCCGCGGTGGTGACGGCACGGACGACAGCTGCCCTACTGGGCTGGGGCTGGGGGGTCTTGGCACGTCCCGACCCGACGTCCCCTGCCGAGCGGGCGGACAGCGCTAGGCAGTGCGACAGTCGGGCGCGACTGACACCATACCCCCCTCCTTCTGGTAGGACGACGTAACGCCGCAGAAGTCTTTCTAACGTCCAGCTGGTCCTCGTCGCTGGACAAAGTCTCGGACAACCGCTCGGCGCCGACGTGCCGGGGAAGGACCATATCCGTACGGCACGGGACGGGACGTGCACGGTAGCGCTCCGGTGGCGTTGCACACACACTCACACACACAGGCACACTCACACAGGCACACACACACAGGCACACTCACAAGCACACACACACACTCACTCACAGCGCACGCCTCGCCACCACATCGCACCGCACATCGCACTCCGTCAAGTAATGGCAGCAAATTG